CTGCTTTAGAAACACGGAGCTTGAAAACGTTCGAAATTGGACGCGCAAAAGAGCGGTGTCACTTCTTGGGGGTTTATGGGAAAACTATTACACCTATATTTAGAAATGACGCACATCGTTAAAAAAAGATAGTTCGGCTGCCGGTTAAAAATAGACCCGCGCGCATAAGTTGTAGTATTTCCGCACCGTTCGTTGTTTTTGGAGTGCACCCCACGAGGGATGTCGGAATAGCACACAGTGTCGGAATATGCACCCTCTACCCTAAGTACCACAGTACTCTTATAATCCATTTCCAGCAACATAATAGCTCTTCATACTTGTTTGGTAATAAAAGCTGACACATGGTTTAAACATTTTTTATCTTAAATGTAATGTTAGTGTATACACACACGACTGTAAACTGGAGAGATGAACACACACGACACCAAGCAATCTAATAATGAGCCCGGGTGTAGTGTCTGACTTTTTATGTTGATCCCCGAAGTGAGTGACATTAACCAAAAGCCCATGGCATACGGGGACATACGTCCCGTGATTAAAAAAGAGTAAGGTACAATACTGTGACTACCGTGACATCTCCCCTTTTAATATTGAAGAAAAAAGGAAAACCTCAAAATGGATTAAAGAAAATTGGTTTTGAGTCTCTGATGATAACCAAAGGAGAATGTTCTAACTTTAACTAAATTCACACTCAGAGTTCAATTGTCTTTGAAGATTCGGGACTTGCACTTGAGAACTTGGTAAAACATTTCAATAAAGTCTTTTGTTCTTCAGAATTACCACATTTCAAATTGTCTTTGTCACAATCATGGAACTGCATAGCGTCCAGAAACGAAACTAAGAAATTAAATTACTTCGAACAGGTAGGTCTACACAACTGTTGGGTAATCAGCAAAGTATAAACAAAAAAGTAAAATCAGTCATCGAAAGGATACGACTGGGTCGCAAGAACATCTGTCCGGGTAACGAGCGGGTCTCCTGACCACTCGCCCACTTCGGGTAGTTATTGGAGCATGACTGGCTGGAGCGTCAGCTGGCTGAAGTGATGGTGGTGTGACATCAGGCTCCACCGGCTGGACAGCTGGTGGCGGAGGTAAGGGAACGGACATCAGAGTAGGCTCTGGGGTGGCAACAGGTGAAGAAGGCATGGAAGGAAGGTCGACGTAGGGCTTCAGGTGTTTGCGGTTCCGGCGGTAAGCCCTATCCCTAGACTGTATGATGTAAGACCTCGGTGCACACCGTTCTTTGACAATCGCAGGGCCGTGTCACTCCTTGTCGTTCTCCAGCTTCTGCAGGACGAGCTGACCAGGATTCAGCTCCGGGAGGTTCTGGGCTCCGTGACCTCTGTCAAAAGCTTGTTTGTACTTATGCTTCGACTCAGCGTCTCTGGCTGCAATCTTCGCCCTGTCGTAGACCTGCTGGTTCAGGTTTGACGGTAGAGTTGGCAGGGTCGTCCTCAGTCGTCGCCCAAGAGCAAGTTCCGCTGGGCTCGCCCCCGTCGGTGACACGGGTGTAGACCTGTAGATCAGGAGGGCAAGAAATGGGTCGTCCAGACTCAGGGCTTTCTTCACCTCCTTGACTGCTCTCTCCAACTCGCCGTTGCTCTGGGGAAAATGGAGACTGCTGGTTGTGTGTTTACACCCCAAGCCCTTGACGAACTTGTGGAAACAGTCTGACACAAACTGGGGACCGTTGTCAGTCACCAGTAGTTCTGGAATGCCAAACCGAGCGAAGATGTTTTTCAGTTTGTACACAACAGTCTCTGAGGTAGTGTCTGGCAAATAGCCCACCTCCAAGTACCATGAGAAGTAGTCCTTGAGTACCAGGTAGTCATGTCCCTCGTAGTTGCAGAGGTCAACACCAACCTTTTGGAACGGCCGCTCAGGTAGAGCTGTCGGGTTTAGAGGTTCGCTTGGTTGTGCTGGACATTTCCGCTGGCAATGGTCGCATCTTGAGACGACTTCCCGTATGTCGGAGCTGAGACCAGGCCACCAAATGGAAGATTTGGCCCGTTCTCGACCGAGGTGACCGTCGTGGATCCTGCTGAGCATCTCTCCTCGCATTGTCTTGGGGATTACGATGCAGTTACCTCTGACGAGTAGTCCATGGACTTCGCTCAGTTCACTGGAGACTGCGTAGAGGTCGCGAGCTTCGGACCTGACATTTCGTATGAATTTCGGCCAACCGCTTCTGGTATACTGTATCGCAGCACTGATAGCTGGATCCTGTTGAGACTTGTTTCTGATTTCGTCAATTTGCTATCCGTGGCATCCCATGACATCTGGATTGTAGCAACATGAGCCTCGATTTCTTCACCAAATTCTTCAGGTTCGGTGCTCACTACAGGACTTCGGGACAAGGAGTCTGCGACAGTCATGTTTTTCCCTTGGGTGTATTCTGCCTTTCCGCTGTAGCGCATCATCCTTATCAGCATCCGTTGGCAGCGGACAGGTGCATCATTCAGTTCTTTAGAGTTGATCAGAGGCACAATGGGGTTGTGGTCAGTGAGCAGTGTGAATGATGGTAGCCCGATGAGGTAGCGATCGAACTTTTCGCACGCCCAGGTGGCCGCCAACAGTTCCTTTTCAATCTGAGCGTAGTTCTTCTCGGCCCTAGATAGAGTTCTGGAACAGTAGGCTACTGGCTGAAGATCCCCCGTGTCCTCCTGGAGGAGAACTCCCCCCAGTCCGTAGCTGCTTGAATCAGCGCTTACAACGACAGGCTTCCTCATGTCGAAGAAGGTGAGTGTTGGAGCTGACGACAGCAATTTCTTGACTTCAGTGAAGGCAGATGACTGCGCTGGAGTCCACGCCCACTCAGCATCGTGATTCAGAAGGTCGGTGAGCGGCTTCATGACTTTTGTCAAATTTGGCACAAACCTGCCCAAATAGTTCACCATGCCGAGCACTCGTCGTAAGTCTATAATGTTCTCTGGCTCTGGCATCTCAGTGATGGCGCTGACCTTGGATGGATCTTTCCTTACACCCTTTCCACTGATGATGTGGCCAAGAAAATCGATTTCATCCTTGTCAAACTTGCTCTTGGATTTGTTCAACTTGACCCCACGCTCCTTTAGCCGCTGGAAGACTTTCTTCTTCTGCTTATCATGTTTCTCCTGATCATCCGTGTGCAGGAGGATATTGTCCATAAAGGACTCAACACCGTCTAGAATGTCTTGCATCGTGCGCTGAAATATCTCAGGTGCAGAGGTGATTCCAAAGCAGAGACGTCTGTAGAAGTACCGACTGAACGGGGTAATAAAAGTAGTCAGCTTCGTGGAGTCGTTGTCTAGCGCCAACTGCCAAAAGGAAGAAATTGCATCAAGCTTGCTGAACTTGTTTGATCCGCTGAGTTTGTACAAGATGTCATCTATGGTGGGCGGCATGAATCGTTCACGCTTCACCGAAAGGTTGAGCTTTTTCAGATCTGTGCAGATTCTAACGCTACCAGACCTTTTTCTGACCGGGACCATGGGCAGGCACCAGTCAGTTGGAGCGCTGATCTTCTCAATGACACCTGCGGCCTCCATGCGGTCTAGTTCAGCTTTGACTTCGTCCATGAGTGGAATGGGAATCCGAAGTGTGACGCTCACGAAGTATAGCTGTGCATCTTCTTTCAAGATGATTTTCACTGGCTCGTAGCATATAGGTTTAGGTCCCACATCGCCGAACACGAGGTTGGCGGAGTCTATTCTGTCTCAAGAAATCAGTCCCAGACGAACTGCGGCGTCGCGACTGAGAAGGCAGTCAGTGTCGTCGTCAAGGACGAAAACACGGAACGAAAAGTTGCGATTGTTATGCTGCATAGTTGCGATAAATTCTCCCATGCTCCTTATAACTCCACAAGGACTGTGAAGAACTGCAGACATTGTTTTCAGCTTTGGACGAGGACTGAGATGGTTGTAGACGGCCTTCGACATTATCGAAACATCGGCCCCTGTGTCTATCTTGAAGGATGTAGCTCTCCCTCCAAGGTTCAGTGTAATGCGCCATGGTGGATCGCTAGCTTCGCCGAAGTTCACATCAGGAACGACATTACTGTCCGAGTCTTTGTCAACAGCTCCTAAGAAGAACGAAGGAGTTTCTGATTCAGTGATTTCGTTGACATTGCGGCTGCTGCTGCGACAGACTGTTGCGTAACGATTGCGCGTGCCGCATTTTCTGCAAATTTTCCCACGTGCTGGGCAATTGTTTTGGGCATGACCTCTTCCACAGTTGCCGCAGTTAGAGAAAGTTGACGGTGATGCATGGCTGCCTCTGTGTTGTGAGTGTGTACCTGTTTTTCGGCCGCCTCTACCCCTGGGGTGAGCAGGCGATGAATATCCCCTCTGGCCGTAGCGCACTGCATCTACTGTGACTGCTGCACCTAGCTGACGTTGGCTACTGACCTGACCCTTTACGAGCCTGAAATGGTGTGCTGTTTCGATGGCTGATTTTAAAGTAAGAGTTGCCTCGAGTTGTAAGCGCTGTGACAGTTCATTGTCCAGTACTCCTAGGACGAGTCTATCCCTTATGGTTTCATCTCGGTCCTTAAAGTCTGCATGTTCTGAAAGCTTGTACAGGGCTCTAACATATTCTTCTATTGTCTCCGCACTGTTTTGTGCTCGTGCATGAAACTTTGCTCTTTCGTGGATAAGATTCCGCTGAGGTTGAAAATAACATTATAGATCTATCTGTGTACTATACTCATAGATACTTTCAGTAAGTACCACAGTACTGTTTTATCCATTTCCAGCAACATAATAGCTCTTCATACTTCTTTGGTAATAAAAGCTAACACGTAGTTTTTAAAATGTTCATCTTTAAGGATATAAGAATTAAAATGCCATTATAAAAGGCCCTCGAACAAAGTTGTATTAATTTAAGGCAGATGTTATATATATGGCCTTGTAGTCTGTGGAGGAAGAACATTTTGAGAGCACTCGAGTGAAGCATATTACATGCTTTTATCATACTGATGTAATTAATGAATATTAATGAATGTGTAGTGTAACCTCCAAGCTATGAAAGGTGTTAATGTCGTGGGTTTTTCTCCCGACAGCTGTCTAGTACAACTATGGTTGTCCGTGAACTTAACAAAGCTTAAAGATGATAGTACAGAAGCAAGAAAAGGGGAAAAAAACGGGATTTTGATCGTGTTATACCAAATCCAAATCACATGGCAAGGATTGTACATGGTTAACAGTACAGTCGACAACCTAGGAAAACTTTTGACTACAAATTGCCCTGGATGTTGACATTTCTCTAATCGATTCATATATTGTTTTCTGCACTCCTCACAGCGGTCTTTTCTGTCATTTCTCTGACATCTCCCCTCCCTACATAAACTCCTTTTTCCACAAGTTCTTTTTCCCGTGGGGTGTTTCTTTTGGATGTTGATCACTCTGGTTATCAGTCTTTTCTCAAAAAGCAATTGGGGTTTGCTTTTTAATTAACTTCAGTTTGACTCGGTCGGTGAGTGGCATCTTATATTCTTAGCTCAGGGACTGTGTCCGAAGACAAAATGTTGTGACTATTATTGTTCCCTTCACGGTCAGAGCTGTCACTCCCCTGCTCCCTGACTTCGGCTGTCAACTCACAGTGAAGAACCATTGGTGTTTCCTTGACCTGTTTTTTTGTTGTCTTTATACTAAACATAGGCTTAACCCCCCCCGGAGCAGTGCCACTGACTGAAGTGTTTTGAGGCCATTCCCAAAGGGGGGACATATCTCCTTCAAGCATAGTAGAATTGTAAATGGGCTGACTCATGTCACGCTCATAACTGCCTGATCTGCAGCAGGGAACTGCTGCTTTTTCTTTCCTCATCCTTACTATTGTCATTTTCCTCTACTTCTTTTGTATGTTTGTCACTCTCTTGTGACCTGCTATTTCCGGGGTGCCTTGATAGTCGAAGCAGACCTTGTGCTGTTGAAGCTAGAGAGGTGAGCAGAGTAAGTCTGATTCCCTGTAGGGACTTCCTTTTGACACCCACCCCTTGGCGCTCATATGACCTTATGCAGTTGCGAATGCGGTAAAACCCTCTACTAAATAAAAAACCCCAAAAAAACATAGGCTTAAGAAATACCACCAACGACGAGGAGGTGGGGGGGGGCTGACGTAAAATAATGACAGAAACGACAGCCGGCTTTGAAAGATAGACACTTTCTAATCAGTATTGTTTGTTCTTTATTTTTGACAGTGGGTTGATACAGATCCATCTCATAAATACTAGAAATTCAGCTTTTGCAACTGACAGGAGCATAATCCCAAATAAGATCTTAAAAACCAATGGTCATTCATGTGCAGTCTCAGAGGCCCTGCGGAAATCTCAATGCCTCTAACTGGGTCTGAATTGGAGAAATGAAAAAACGAGTGGCCTTCCTTACTATGAAGCAAAGGGGGTATGGGAATTATTGGGGTTAGTTCAAGTCACCAAGTTGAAAAGGACCAAGTGTTCAAGGATTGGATGCTAACCACAAAGGTGGCAAAAATGGATGGAAAAGAGTGAGATATATATGTGAAACGCATACAAAACTAGGACTCTTAATTGAAGACTAACACCTTCTACTCCTCAAGTACAAACCACAAAACACTGCTTAATTTGCAGCGAAACACAGAGCAGAAAAAGGTCAAGCGACTTTAGCAGCCATCAAAATGAAAGGAACGTAACTTAACATATTTTATTTTCTCTTGCAGCTTTTCTTCAGTTGCACGCCTGAAGGGACCATCTAACGTTGAACAGAAAGCTGAACCAATCATCGAAGCTGCTCACCATGGAAGACGATGATTGGGAGCCTCTGGGTGAAGCAGACATGAAGCTGATTCAGGCGCGACGTGAACGCTCTGATAAAATCTCCAAACTGATGGGCGACTACCTACTGAAAGGCTACAAAATGTTGGCCACCACATGCCCTGAATGTGGTGTAAGTATCTGCTGGTTCTGAAGCCTTATCTTTCAGATTCAAAATTAGGACAGTAAGAGTAGAAGTTTTGTCAGTTGTGATTTTAGTCATCATAAGAGATGATACAGAATGAGCTGTCCACTGTCTGAGGTTGCGAGAACTTCCCAAAATCCGCGCTGGGCCGCCCTAAGGCGCTCCACGGATTCGACTAAGCTTGGCCTACCGTAGACCAGATGCGTGAGACGGCTCGGGGAAAAAGAAAGTCACGAACACTGATGTGGAGGGGGGGGGGTGCACAATATTTGTAGAAGTCTATCGGATCGACCATCAAAGTTCAGGGGTTGGTGAAAAAGTTCACTGTCATTCCTGAGGAAATAAGTTTTTAAAGGTTATACTCCTGGCCAAACTCAAATGGCCACAGGATCGGAGAGGTAAAAGTAGAGATTATGCTTCGGAACTGTGAAAGCAGGGACACTTGGTTTGTCCACATTAGAGATTTCTTACATTATTGAAATAACTTTTTGACCCTGAGATGGTTGATAAAGTCCAGTAGTTTTCTGTAGCATATTTTAAAAAATTTGAATTTTGAACTGTCAATAAGTCCATTGAACTTAAAATTTAGTTCTAAACCTAACATTCTTTCACCATGTATCTTTTTCATACACTGATTCATAAAGTAGCAATGCCCACCGAGCGCGTTTTGTTCTGCCGATTTTTGGCCCCCGCAGCGGGGGTGTTTCGTGGGACGCACTAACGCAAAGGTTGTTGTCTTCAACTCGCTCTCACGCCGCTTCTCGTGAATGGATATGAATGAAACTTGGCAGCCAATCAGAAAAGAGGTCAATCTCGTAGTATGCAGTTTGACAACTTTGTCCCCATCTTAGAAGCTGTCGAAAACGTTTGCGAAAGTGGTTGATGTGGTGCGCTTTGAAGATTTTTCGGAGCTGTGATTTGTCAAACTGACTGATACGTTGTACACAATTTTTCTTTATTCCCTTAAAATTTCAAGCTTCTGTGTTTAGCGGTTTTGGCGTAATCTTTAAAAATGTGGGAGGAGTAACTAAGGGAAAAAGCGACATAGCCATTTGCGCGTGCTGGGTGAACGGACTGCTGATGGGAAATTTCCACTGAGTGACGTCATCAGCCATCGGTCGCCTCGGGCGCTACAAACGAGGCCCCCGCTTATGTGAACCGGAAAGGGGGGGGAAGGATACTTGAAAACTAAACGGGGGCCTTGATAACTTGCGTTTTTGTTGCATTTTAGTCACAATACAATAGATGTAGTCATTTTTATTTGCTTGATTGCATGACAGAAGAATAGAAACAGAAAAGCAAACATCTTGAGAAGTGGTATGGCATTGTGTTTGCGTTATGAAAGCCTATTCCCCCCTCTGGGGAAAGCACACACTTGGACTCGTCCTGTGTGCTCTGTTTGGAAAAGTGAGGCATTAAGATTGTTATTAAAGAGTATGGTACTTATTTAGTCCAGTCTGGGAAGATAGTCCCGTTTATACATTGTTATCGTTCACGCGTGCGTGCGTGAGTGCGCGTGCGTGCATGTGTGTGTGTGCGTGCGTGAGAGAGAGAGAGAGAGAGAGAGAGAGAGAGAGAGAGAGAGAGAGAGAGAGAGAGAGAGAGAGAGGGGGGGGGGGGGTGTGTAAATATGTTACATTTACTGTATGAGTTGTAGCCTACACATGCGAAATATTCCCATGACTTGTAAACTATATTATCTGAACGCATCTTAATCTACCACACAATAGGACACTGTCCAACAATGGATATACACAGAGACGATCTTATTTTCTATAACAAAGCATGCATGCTTTTACTAGTACAGAACTGGATTTATTAGTAGCTCTCTACTTACATTTTTGTGACAAATTGATCCAGAACATTGCTTGGCAAGGAGGAACCTTTTATGTTGCCAAGTTTCATTCAAATATCATGACTTTGGGAGAACATATGACTGATAATCTTTGTAAATCTCTAAAGAACGCCACTTCTTTACCAAGTTTCATTTACATATTCCAAGAAATAGGCGAGGTATGACAAATATTGTCTCAAAACGCACCGAAAACCGCCACATTTTTGCCTATAAACGTCTTCATAACTCAAAAAATAGGATAGCTATGAAATATCTGAAAGCAGGACTAGATTCTGCACTAGAAAATGTACTGGGTTGCCAAGTTTCTTTTAAATACTCTGAGAAATGAGCGAGTTATGACGAATATTGTCTCAAAACTCACCAAAGAACGTCCCATATTTTGGGCTTTTTTCATTATATAAAAGTGTACCAGAAATTAATTGATTAAAAAATCTGTAACTTTTTTGTTTATTGATGGATTTCAAAAATTCAAAAAGTTCCATGCTCTGTGAAGATAAAGCTACAAAATGCACCTATTTGCAAACACTTTCTGGCAAAAAAAGGATTTTCGTGGTCATTGCTACATAAAGTAGGGCTATCAAATGTACACGTCAAGCCCCATTTCAATTATACTTATGTATGTGAACTTTTTTGTTAATGTATCAAATTGGTGCAGACTGCTCTCCCTTTTTCTTTTATTACAAATAGCCTAATTTGTCAGATTTTACATGTGTCATGACGCGGTGGAATCAGGCGCCCGTCAATTTTTGGGCATGTGGAGTTATTGGTATTATCTGAAAGCTGATTTATTTGCCTTGCTTCTAATGAAATAAATATCCACCTATCTTGAATAGAACTCAAGATATTTACGATTGAAGGAAATGAGGTCACCTGGTTTCAGTAGTGAAAATAACAAAAAAATGACCGCCAAAGTTTGGAAACTCCAATAGCTAAAGAGTCATTGAAAACTAAAAAATGGCATATTTTGTGCTTTTTCAGTAAATTTAACATGTAAATGTGTTTTTACATGGACATAAAAGAGGTTAAGTCAAAAAATAATTCGTTAAAAATTTCCAAACTGGTGGAAAAATGCCTATTTCTCCCTTTTCGTTATTTTGACGAACGCCTGATTTCACCTTGCTGCCTCACATATTTATTTCTTTAGTACAAAATTGTTATTTGTGTCACGACGTGGTGGAATCAGGCGCTCGCCAATATTTGTGCATATAGCAGAGTTATTGGTATTTTCTTAAAGGTAGTTTATTTGCCTTGTTTTCAATGAAAAAAAAATAACCGTGTATCTTGAATAGAAGTCAAGATATTTGCGATTAAAGAAGGTGGGGGTCGCCTGGTTTCAGAGATAAATTTGCGAGGAAATGTCTTCCAAAATTTAGTAACTTCCATAGTTTGAGAGTCTGTTTTTAAATGGATATAAAAGGTGCTGAGCAAAAAAAAAATTTAATACGAATTACCAAACTAGTAAAAAAAAAAAAAAGTAGTTTTCTTCGATTTCATTAATTTGACGGGAGTCCGATTTCACCACGATGCCTCACATTTTATTCCATTATGCAAACTCTTTTTTTTACAGACTATTTTGCTGCAAACCCGACAAGGACAGAATTACTGTGTGGCCTGTTCTGAGTTGAATTCTGATGTGGGAAAAGATGATCCAGGTCTGCATCTAAATATGCCTCTCTGGTATTTATCAATTATGGCTTCAGCAAACTGGCCCATTCGTTTGCCATACAATAAAAAAAATGTCCTTATTCATTACAATATCGTGACTGCAGGTTCATTGACCTATTACTGTTAGGATTAACTCTTTATCTCCGTCGGGGGTAAACCCACTATGCCAAGGCCCATTGTTGGCACTTAATCTAAAAATGACGAAAACGTCACTAAATTGGTCATTAAATCAAAACAAGTGAACCTATTTCTATAGTTCTACATACCCCCGGGGCGGTGCCACTGACTGAAGTGTCTTTAGGCCATTCCCAAAGGGGGGACATTTCTCGTTCATGCACAGTAGAATTGTAAATGGGCTGATTCATCAATGTCGCGCTCATAACTGTGCCTGTTCTACAACAGGGAACTGCTGCTTTTTCTTTCCTAATCCTTACTGTTGTCATTTTTCCTCTACTTCTTTTGTACGTTTGTCACACTCTTGTGACCCACTATTTCCGGTGTACCTTGATAGTTGAAGCAGACTTTGTGCTGTTGAAGCTAGAGAGGTGAGCAGAGTAAGTCTGATTCCCAGTAAGGACTTCTCTGTTGACATGCCGAAAAGTAATTTGATGTCGAAGTCGTCATAAAGGAATGTGCCTGAGCCGGTTCACCGGCACAGCAGTTCCGACCGCGAGCTGCGGCTTGCCGGAGATAAAGAGTTAATGTTTGTTCCCGCGGAAGTAGCTGAATAATGTGAACGGCATCCATTGTCTGGTGCAGACAATAAGTAACCTTCTTATGTCCTGTAAGAGAATGCTTACTTCCACAATCAGACCAATTTTATACTCTCTCTTGTGGACTTTGTTTCATATTTGTCTATCACTCTGTCATTTTTTTTTTTCGTTTTTCATTTTTGTGTATGTACTAATACTTTTGAGAGACTTTAAGAGACTTGTTTGGTCATGATATCTAGCTTGTCATTAGTTTTCTAAAGTTGAATTTTGTCTGTTTTCTTTCTTTGCATTTTCATGAGAAATTGCGAAAATCTATGCTGTAGGCCTATTGGTTGAAATGTTTAAAAACAGTGATTTTGCCAAATTTCGTAAAAACTCGATTCGGGGGGAAAAAACCAACAACCTTCAAAGTTTGGACCATTCTTAAAAAATCTCACACTATCATTTTTCAAAACAAGTTCGTCAGAAACATAAAACAAATTGAATTTGGTCTCCAGTATTATTTTTGATTGAGAAGAAAGTGGTTTGAAACCAGACTGGGCCTCCTCAAAATGCGTCATCATCAAGATTTAATTGCAGCAGCATTTTGAGCTTGAGCTGAATAAAAGATTGTCTGCATTTTAGACGCCATAAAAATATGAGCCCCTTTTGATATAATTTCGTTTCTGTTAAGGTTTCCAAAATATTTTAAAAAGTCTGGGATGCTTTGAAATAGGCATGTCTTAATATAACCTGCCATTTGGAGGACTGTTCTTCTGAGGGGTTGTTTTACTCCTTTCAAGCATTGAAAACCAAAATTTTCACACAGGTAATCTAGGGATTTTAAGTATTCTAAACTTTTTGGGGTGAGGGCTGGGAAGAAGAATGAGTTAAAAAAAGAAAAGAAAACACCTTTTCCCCTGTTCCAGTGCCTTTGATTTTCAATTAGTGTGAGGGATTCTTTTCATATAAACAATAGTAGAGAAAAATGATTTATGTTCTTGAACGATTAATAACCAAACCTCTCTTAAAATTGATTTAATAAAAAATAAGATTTGCCTGCTTCTCGCTGCAGTTCTGAGTGAGTCTGCTGCTTTGTCCATGGCCCGTGAGCTCGAACTGGCCAGCGCAGCAGCAGCGCCTGCATCAGCCACAGCCAAAGCCACCACCGGAACAGCTTCTGGGGACGAACCATCATTGCCGCCGAACTCCGTCCCCACGGTGACCCCTCTCAACCTAGGAGGCAGGCCAGTCAACAGTGCACGCTCGAGGCCCAACACAAGCCGCTCGGATCTGGATCAACCAAACTCTGCCGAGTCTTGCCACACCCTCAGCATGACGAGCATCGACGTGCAGTGCTGGCCGGCGAATGCGAGTGACGTCCGCAGCAAAAAATCTGCGCCCTCAAGCGCACGTTCTTTGTCTGACATCAAAGTGGAGCCAAATCACCTCGGGGCTGATGGAGATTCCGGATTGGGGTCATTGTCCCTCGCAGATCAGGCCGTCAAAGATGCCAATGGTTTACTCACTGCCGGTTCTCAGTCACCGTTTATCCAAACTCTCGTTGACAAGGTTCAGTGGGCGAGTCAGGAGCTTAAGAAAACTCATAGTGTGGAGTACAGCATACAGCTATGTCAGCTGATCAAAACAGCATCAGAGGCTGTTGTGGCTGTCCGAACTGCAAGGATATAGAAGTCTTTTTGTATGTGTTAGGGTTTCTTTTGAATTTTGGGTAAAAAAAATTTGCTGTTGATGACTTGTTTGTTAAGTTATTGTTGACATCTTGCTGTCATTTGACTTTCTCTTAGCAGCTTCATTTACTTGTTTCTCCTCCAATTTTCATTTCAGTTTTTTTTTTTAAGATTGAAAGTTGTGGGAAAAAGGTGATAGGTGTGGAAGTTATAAAATATGTTTTTTTTATCCTTGGATGATTTGCTTGCTTTGAAGTGAGTAAATTTCATCTCCTTCTGACTTCAGTTGTGTTTGTTTTGAAAGTGGAAATATGTTTCACCGTAAATGGTACGCAAAAATGGCTAATTGTCAACGTTAGTGTGGTCAGCCTGTGTGAATTGTCCTTGAATGTCTTCTCTCACCCAGGGGATCCCTATTTCAGCATTTTTCTGGTTAAACTGCCATGATTTACCCTTTAAATGTTGTACTGTTGAATTAACTTCTCTTCTTTGAAAAGAAGGCAAAGGGAGGCACAGTCGAAACTGTGAAAGACAGCTACCCATTTCGAAAAGGAATAGTGGTTGTCAGTTGAACAGAACAGGTGATTGTCTTGGACAGGTGGCTGTTAGAGCAGGTTTGATTGCATATCATTTAATATTTTCCTTCTGGTTGATATTTGAGAAGGAGTAGTTTTGATAAACTCCCAGCTTTTATTATGGTTGTCAGTGATTGAAGTTGTATTTTTGCTTTGTCCTTGTGCACTTGCCATTTATTAATGAGCTGCTATTTTCTTTTTACTCTTGTTTGAAATATTACGATATTGAGAAATGACCTGTAATGCAGTGCTTTTGCTCCAGTCGTGGTTCATAATTGTGTTTTGCTTGCAGTATGTTAGATCCCAAGATGACTGATATGTGTCCTATGTTTTTTAAAATACGTTTTGAAGTGAATAAATCTGTGAACACAAAACTACTGTACTTCTCGTCTCCTCTGACAATGTGAATCAGTGAATGGACAAGATTATCTCGGAGACTGGAGATTTTGGTTAAAGTTAAGTTAGCCCCTTGCGTCGTCTTCTTACATCATGCCAATCTGAGCACATGTTTTCCTGTTCCTTTAAGAATTAACTATTACCTCAACAGTGATCCTGGATGTCACACTCAAGGTCAAGATGCCTACTTTACTTTTACCAATACTTTAAAAGAAATCTTTAAGACTGTTTTGGTGGTTGGTTGGTGGGTGCTCTGGTGTCGTTTGCTCTTTCTTTCTAATCAAATATCAATCTCCTTATCTCTCCTCCTTTTTGTGTTTGTTATTCTCTTGTTATATCTTTGATCTTCGGCACTTGTATGACATAATTGGTTGCAAGTGCTGCAAAACGCTTACTAAAATATAAGACTTTAAAAAATGTGTTATTTAGTGGTACAAAAAACTCCAGAGGGTCTACGTGTACTGGCTGTCACTTGGAGTGTGAATGATGCATGAACCTGCGCACTGATTGACATCCGGTGCGAGTGGGCTTAGTGTATAACTCTTCAGAAATCAGCAAAATACACGAGCTCTCTCTGTCTCTCTCTCTCTTTCTCTCTCTCTCTCTCTCTCTCTCTCTCTCTCTCTCTCTCTGTCTCTGTCTGTCTGTCTGTCTGTCTGT